TGTGTGTGTGTGTGTGTGTGTGTGTAAAGGGATAAAGACTTTAAGGAGATGCCCACCTTTCTCTTTCTGGGAGAAAGAGGAGAGAAATTGACCTAAGAGTGTGGAGGGATTGGGAAATTTTAAAATGATTCTACACAGATTGACTCTTCTCTAAAGCATTCATATATGACTTAGCGACCTGTGCAACATTTTAATATACTCATAAAACATGTTTTAAAGAACTGATCACTAAGAATCCATCCAGAATTAAGGCTTATGCTTAACTCGTGCCTTCCTATATTCATGAAGTTATACTTACCGAGGTTTAAGAAAAGCAACTAGATACAAGGAAGATGTAGTATCACAAAACTTGATAATAAACTTAGAATAACATAAATTGATCATCTAACTTTAAAATATTACCATTTGTCCTAGGCTTTACTGAGAAAATATTTTATATAAATTTAGTTCTCAAGTTTAACAAAGTCCATAATATTACACCAAGGACATTAATACCTATGAAGTTATCCTACAATGTTTTACTTGGGAAGTAATAAGTTAATAAACTTCTAAGTATGTCTTCATTAAACCAATTTAATATTACTGTATGTTCTTTTAGAAAACATTAGTTTCTAACCTTTTATATTGTTGTTTAAATTCATTTTCACGTTTTCAACAATATCCCGTACAACAATACTTTTGGAAGGCACATAAGCCAATTCCCAAGGATAAGGAAACATGGTGGGAGCTCTGATAAATAAAGGGACGTCATCCACACGCAGAGGGGGAAAACCATAAGGTCCATACGTCTTTAGAACAGTAAAGTAGCGTGTTCCCAAAAGCGTAGCACCAAATATAAACGTTAGGACCATTTCCACAACTAAAGCAATACATTTCCGCTTCTAGAAGAAGAATAAAAGATGATGTTAATTTCTCTAAGAGGTCATTAACTTTGCAAATGACTAATTCTTTTATATTAATTAACAGATACTTCATAAAAGAATACATAGATTGCCAAAAAGCACAGCTTCACACTATAATAGCAGCAGTTTCCTGGACTGTCTTATTTCTCTTTCATGGGTAATATTCCTCTATTATTTCATTCTGTAAGAACTCTATATTTTGAAAAGATAACCCCAGCCCTGAAATTGAGAAAAAAATAAAACAGTATAAATTAAAATGTATACTTTTATTGGATTCTCAGAACTTTCCCCTTGTAACCTCTGAGATGTTATAACAATCCTGATAGTTTAACTTACCTTTAAAATAAAATTCTTCCAGAGAAGAGCAATAAATTTTCTGAACTCTGATGAATCCATTCTTCTAGAAAGGTTGGAAATTCAACTCTATGTAAAGAGTGAAGACTTTTTAAAGAAGAAAATAAAGCTTATCTAATAATATGTAAATTTTAGACAAATAAATTACTTAAACTTAAATTCCTTAATTTTCTCACCAAGTTTTAAATATGACTATAAAAAAGAATGAACATTTAAAATATTTGAGAAGCTATTTATTCCCACATTTTTAATTTACTTAACACCTGTGAAGCTTCTAATATGAATTAAGTATCAATTGCAAAATAAAGATCAATAAGTTGTTGACACAATTTTATCAGTAGCTTTCCCAACTCCCATCTCTCACTCCATTGCCTTTGGTAGAGTGCTGCAGCATTATAGCATGGTGTCTCTGGGTAGACTACTGTGGCACCACAGCATGGTGGCTCATGCCTGTAATCCTAGCACTCTGGGAGGCTTAAATGGGTGAATCACTTGAGCTCAGGAGCTAGAGATCACACTGAGCAAGAGGGAGACTCTCATCTCTACTAAAAAATAAAAATAAAAAAACAGAAAACCCAGCTAGGCATTGTGGTCAGTTCCTATAGTCCTAGGTACTTGGGGGGCTAAGGGAAGAGTATCTCTTGAGTCCAAGAATCTGAGGTTGCTGTGAGCTATAACACCACAGCACTCTACCTAGGGTGATGGAATGAGACTCTGTCTCAAAACAAATATTCAGATGAATAAACAAAACAAAACAAAAAACTAATTAAGAAACAACACAAATAAATAAATAACTACCATCAGCAAAGCAACAAAACAGTATGTAAAATCACATCACAATCATAAACCCAATCAGTTTGGAAGTAACTACCACTAATAACATTGCTAAGGGGAACAAATTTGAAACAGATTGAATGTTTATGTTCCCCCAAATTCATACATAAAATTCTAACATCCAAGTTGATGGGACTTAGAAGTAAGGACTTAAGTGATTAGAATGGGATTGGTGTCCTTATAAAAGAGGCCCCAGAGAGATTCTTCATCCCTTCTATCATGTGAAGACATGAAAAAAAGATGAGTCATCTATCAACCAGGAAAGGGGCCCACGTCAGACGCTGAATCTCCTGGCACTTCAGTTTTGGATTTTTCAGCCTCCAGTACTGTGAGAAATAAATTTCTCCTGTTTTTAAGTCATAGAATCTATGACATTTTGTTATAGCCAAATGGACTAGCACAAGATTCACTCTTGCATTTAATGAATAATTTGAACACCTACCATGTATCATGTTAGATGGAGGTAGATAATGGGAAACAAAATAAAAACAATACTCCATGGTGTGGGTAATAGGGAAGGTTATTATTAATAACCTGGGATCTGAAGTTAGACTGCCTAGGTTGAAATCCTGGTTCTATCACTGCTTTATGTGACCTTAATACCTTGACTTAAATTCTTGGGGCTGTGAGGAAAAGTGTTGGAATTCAGGGCCAAGAATGAGAGGCATTGGATTAGGACTTGACTTTCTAAGGCTGAATCCAAACGAGACTGACCTTCATAGGGACTGCAGTCTACCTTCAATATTTTCAATGTTTGATAGAAGATGAAGGTGCTCCCAGACTACAAACATGTAACGATGCCTAGCAAACAAATTAGATCATGTCTGGAGAAAACTAACAAAAGGCCAGCATCAACTATTTTTAAAAGCAATTTTCCTAAATACAACATGATATAAATATAAAAGCTGCCAGAAAACCTCTATTAATGCTTGAGAATATCTTTATGACCTCAGAATCCAGGGCAACACCAGGCTCAGACCAGCCCCAGAGTTCCTGGCCTCCAAACCATTCCCCAGCACTAGGAAGGCACTTCTGGGCTCACAAACCAGGAAAGTACCTGAAGACACAGGTAATAGGCCTACTCAGTTCCAAGACCTTTATATCCAGGTCCTAGGCCAGCCCCTCTTATCTCCAAGGACCTGAGGATTCAGGCCCTCCTACACCTAACCTCTAGACTAGCAACTATATACCCAGCTTTCAGGCTTTCACTAGCAGATATAAGCTATAGGTAAGCCCCAGTCGCTTAGCTCCAGGAACCCACAGAGATAAAAATATCCATGGATGCTCAAGTTCCTCACATAAAATGGTATAGTTTTTGCATATGATCTACAGGTATCCTCCTATATACTTTACATTATCTCTAGATTGCTTATACACATAATACCTAAAAAATGCACATATGATATAAATAGATTTTATACTGTATTGTTTTTATTTGTATTATTTTTATTGTTGTATGGTTAGTTTCATTGATTTTTAAAGAATATTTTGGACTTGCAGTTTGTTAAACCTATACATGTGGAATCTGTGAATATGGAGGTCTGACTATACACATTCTTCTCAAAAACACACCATTCTCCAGGAGAGTTCATACATTAGACCACAAAACAAGTGTTAATACATTTTAAAAGACTGAAGTCAATATCAAATATATTTTCCAACCACCATGATATCATACTAGTAATAATAACAAGAGGAATTTCAGAAATTATATCAAGTACATGTAAATTAAGCAACATGCTTCCAATCAATGGGTCAATGTAGACATAAAAAGGGTAATTAAAAATTATCTTGACACAAAAGAAAAGAGATAAAGCAAAAGTGGTTCAAAGAGCACTATGTGGTGTGCATCCTCCTAGAGCTCTACAAGAAGGTATTCTCCAGGCATGAGGATCCACACAGGAACTCTTCCCACTTGGCGTGGCTGCTTTCTGGAAACACTATCACCCCGGTGCTGGGCAGGGGCAGAGCCAGAGGCTGCTCACATATCTGGGTACTGAAGGTATTAGAGGAGGCAGAGGTCCCAGTGGACCTGATGTGTGGCTCATACATCATCAGTTCCTTCATTCTGGCCCTGTATGAGGAAGAGCGCTTTGCCTGCTGCATTAAGCAGTGGACCAGGAGTGGGCCAACAGTATGACTTCAGTGATGAAGACTGTGTTAGATCTCACATATCCTGTCACCTTCATGTTCATTGGCTCAGCCTTTCATCATATCATCCACCGTGTCTTCCAAGAAAAGCAGATTGAGGACCCATGGCTGCCATATTTCAATGGCATATTTCACCACAGACATCACAGAGTCGTCATGAGTGTCCACAAACATGGCTCCATGTGGCAGTATATGATGCCAGCATGATGCTCTTGGGCTACCTGCCCCCACTCAGTGACTCAAAGGATGGATACCTTCTCATGGATGATGGCTACATCAACAACCTGCCAGTGGACATTACCCGCAGCATTGGTACTGAAACAGTCCTTGCCATTGATGTGAGGAGTCAGGATGAGACAGACCATAGCACTTACCAGGACAGCTTGTCCAGCTGGTGGCTTCTGTGGAAGTAGCTAAACCCCTGGACCAACAAAGTGAAAGTTTCAGACTTGGCAGGGATCCAGTCCAGTGTGGCCTGTGTGTCCTGGGTACGGCAGCTGGAGGTTGTCAAATTCTGCTCCTACTGCAAGTACCTGTGATCGCCTATTGACTGCTTCAAGACCATGGACTTAGGGAAGTAGATCCAGATCTATGATGTGGGCTACCAGTATGGGAAGGCTGTGTTTGGAGGTTGGAGGCTGGGGTGGGGGGGGGGATGTCTGTGACAAAATGCTCACAGATCAGCAGTCTGTAGACCTTAATGAGAGCCAGTATGCAGACATATTTGCCTTCCCAAATCTGGGCTTGACCGACTTGGCAGAGATTATGTCCCTGATCAAGCTCCCCACAGTCTCTGATGGCTGCTGATGGGTAGGAGTCAGATTGCCTGACAGAGTAAAAGGAAGAGGCAGGAACAGACTGTTCCAGAGAGAATGAGGGCTCCCCTGAGGGCCTGAATTCCAGCACTGCCTCTGAGATGGTGAGGGGGTATGGTTCATTGGGGTTCATGAGTGTAGCAGGAAGAGCTGTGCCCTAGACTTTGTGGGATGGGTGGTGGCTCACATGTGTGCAATGACAGTGTCCTGTACATGTGGCCTATCCCCGTAGAAGGAGGAGGAGGTGATTCTTCAGCAGTGCCACTTTGTGCTCCAGGAGCCTTTCAGCTCAATCTCAGATACCTAAGGGCCTCACTAGGGTTTCCTCTACCCTCCATCCCTGGGCTGGGTTGGGGTTGGGCCCCAGGGGGCAGCTTGCTCCACCTCCTCCCACAGCTATGCCAGTGACCTCTTGGGTCCTTCTTGGACTGCTGAACCCAGGGGCCATACTGGACTGACTGGCAGGGTATGGGGAGGGGGTGCAGCACTGCACTGATGATTCTTGACCAGGTACCTCCCCAATAAACTGTTACCTCTTTAAAAGAAAGTGGTTCAAAGAGGAAAGTTTATAAAAATAAACACCAACATCAAAAAAAGGATTTCTCAAATAAATGGTCTAACACTATATCTCAAGGAACTATGAAAATAAGAACTAAAAACAAAGTTAGCAGAAGGAAGGATAGAATAGAGATTAGAACAAAAATACACAAAATAAAGAGTAGAGAAATAACATAAAAAGTTAACAAAACTTGTTGAAAAGGTAAAATCAACAAACCTTTAGCTAGTGTAACTAATGAAAAAGAGACTATGAATAAAATCAGAAACAAAAAGAAGATCTCCTTTTTAGATGGGTCCTTTCCTGATTTTGGAATCAGGGTGATATTTGTTTTATAGAATGTGCTGGGGAAGTTTCCTTCCTTGTCAAAGTTTTGGAATAGGTTCTGCAGTATAGGTACAAAATCATCTTTGAAGGCTTGATTGAATTCCAGTGTGAAGCCATCTGATACAGGGCTTTTTTTTTTTTTTTTTGGAAACTTTTATTGTTTCTTCAATTTCAGTGCTTGATATTGGTCTGTTCAACAGATCTATTACCTCCTAGTTAATTTGAGGGAGATGGTATGATTCCAGGTATTGGTTCATTTCCTCTACACTGTCAAATTTCTAGGTATAGAGTTTCTTGTAGTAGTCAGCAATAATCTCTTATATTGGATCGGTGGTATTAGTTGTTATCGGTGGTATCAG